GGTGGAACTGATCTAAGTTACGTAGTTTTCTGTAAGCGGCATAGTTTACATCAGTAGTGAACAGAACACACACACACCATTCGGGGGGAGGAGGAGGGAACATGCAGATTTTAGATTAGGTTCTGCCATTTTTGCACCAGTCTATGGGTGCCAAACTTCTGTTCTGTTACAGGTATAGACCGGTTTCCGATCACTTATACTGGTAAATGTGCAATGTCTGTACCTTGCCATGGTGAACATCTATATCAACCTCCCCCCCCCGCCCCCTCCCCACCAACAAAATGCAGAACACTAAATAGGTGTACAAACATGGCCCCACTCTGAAATGAAGTCATATTGCATGAACCCTCCCCACCACCCAGATACTAACAGAGGTAAAAACAGATATTAATACATCAAGTGGTATTAATGGTATATCAAACAATCTCTTCCTGGAATTTTAACTTTTTAAAATCTCTTTGGTTAAAACTTACAATTATCATCTCTACAAGTTGGTAAACATGTTCAGGGTACAAAGTCACAACTACTGTGATTCAGGTCAGTGTATTCTATCATCAACAGCACACCTCCTCTGAGTAGCACATGCACTGTCCAAGCAGTTTACAGCTCAAAAACAAGTACTGTCCTTTTAGGTTTTGCCAACACAAAGTAGGTTCCACTTTCTTCATATACATCATTTTTTCATTGTTTCTTGTAATGGCAGCAACTGGAAGTCAGTACATTCCTCCTCCCAATCATTCAAATTTTAAACAACAATCATTTTTTCTTAAATCAACAGCTAATTGATTAAAAGACCCAAAACTCCCTCCCTCCCCCACAAAAAGTGCTGTTTTTCTCCCCAGTTTGCAGAATGAGATTGGGAGCCCCTCTCCCTCTTTTGTAAAAACATAAAAAAAAAACAAAGATACTGCAAAATAGTTTTCTAAGCCGAAGAGAATATAAACTTTCTTCCAAACACTAGAACTCAAAAAGGATAAAAATGAACACTTTTATTGCATTATATTTTAATAAGGGAGTAGTAATACACATTTATAGCTAGGAATCAAACTAGTCCATGTGTAAAGTAGCATTTTATTTAATTTTTTTCAGGTTCTGTTTCCAAAATTGAAAGTTTGGTGTATTTATGAGAATCATCATGATCTATTTTGTGTCCAAGATTTTCAGAGACACCTGGAAATATTTAAGTTTGCTGTGCTATATATGTTAACAATTAGAACATGGGCCCCCCAGATTAAGCACATCTGTGTAGTTCAAATTATGTTTCCTAACATTCAGAAGGATCCCAAATAATAAAAGGAGTAAGGCAGCTATCCTCTTGGAAAAGTAACATCTTTCCAAGATAATCCATGAGATCTATGCTTCTGTCTAGAGTTCACATTAGCAATCACTGCCAATTCGCCAAATACATAAAAAACCCAAAACAGTTGCAGAGGCAGCATGATCCCAGGGACCGAGCACTGAGCTGTAATCCATCAGCTTTCTAGTAGCTCATACACTGACCTCAATCTTGACGATAACCTGTCTTCTAAACTGAAATAAAACTTTCCTATGCAAAATTAGTTGTAAGGATGTTTGTAAATTCCTTTGAAGCTCTAAATTATGTACTTAACATAATGCACAAAAACTTGTAAACTACAACTTCTTCCACTCTTAATATTGCTGTTTTTTGCTGCCAGGGCTAAAACGTGAAACAGTATTCTCTAGAAAAACTCCAGTTCCTCTAACCAGCTTCTATCAAGTTCAGTAAAGAGAATCAGCTTCATAAGGGAATACAAATCACAATTCTTCTAAGTCAACCAATCAGCAAGCCAAAATAAACAAAAATACTAGCAAGGAAAGATATCAATGTCATTAGAATAAAGTAAATCTATCCTTTTTCACATTAAAGACATTATGTGATTCTCTCCCTTTCTGTTCTTATTACTTCAATAGTCTGACTTTAATTTTTTTGTTTTGCCTCTAGAAATCCATAGTGCAATGTAGCAAACAAAATCTAAAGATTTAACAACCAGTACTGAGCTTCCTCTTTAGGTACGGAACTTCAAATGCTTAATTTGGGCATTTAATTTGTAACGTGTGCACACAACACTATAAAGCAAGAGATTAAAGTAAAAAACTGAAACAGATTATCTGGTCATATTCAGAACACAAAAATCTGTTATGGAAAACTATAGTAAGAAACTACCCTGAGAACTGTCTTAAGGAACCACCACTAACCAGAGTTCTCATTGTTCTAGCACAAGTGTTTCCTCATGCAACTCTCAGGAGGAGTCAAAGACTTTTGATTCATTGGCATGAGGATTATTTTTGTTCCACTAATTTGTAAAATATTTTAACAGCAATGTCAGTCAATATATCATCTGCTTTTAAAAAGTCCATATCTTTATATTAATTAAAGCTGCTTAAAAGATAAAAGTGTGGTATTTTAAGAACAAAGCACCATTATGATTTGTAATAGCTGAACAAATTCTGCTCAGAGCATGCCTATTAGTTGAAATATGCAATTTAAAAAAAATAACCAAAGCCACTTCATTAATAAGCAAAATGAGATGGGCAATGCAGGATAACTGTAACTCCTGTCAAAGAGATACAATGCTTTTTAAAGGTTTTCTCCGTGTGAACCCAGAAGGGCAGGAGAGCAGCAGGAGCTTGTACAGATATTTCAGTCGCAGCAAATGTACTTGCTCAAAACTTGATGTGAAAGGGTTACAAAGAGCCAAAGCCCAATGTTACAGTAATATTTGTTCATGGTCAGACTTAAGGAGATCCTTGAGCCTAACCCCAAATTAGAGTATATTGTTCCCCAGTTCCTTCAGACACTGCTGACAGTATGTAGAAAGTACTAGCAGCCTGCATCAATTTGAATATTCATTAATACTGGTTAACTTCTTTCTAGAGCTCAAGATTACTGACCTCTGATCAGCATTGATAAGACTTTATGATTCATCACATGCCGGTTTTCAATTAATCAAATGTCAGGCTCTCTCTGAAGTGTACAACGATTAAAAAAAAAAACCCACCCAAAAAACACTGTTGTGGTTCAGCGGTGAAATCCTTGTCTGCCATACAGAAGACCTGGATTTGATTTCCGGACCCACATGTAACTACAGCCATCAAGGCGCCAAATGTCCAGATTCGGTCTGGCTTTTGGATTCTGTGTCAAAGGTCTAAAGGGCAATGGATGGAAGGTCTGAGCAGCTGCCATTCCTCCATACTCCTGCCTAGGCATACATGTCCTGGTAACCTCTCATGCATGCACCATGATCAAGAGGGATGGGGCGTTTGTACAAGCCACAAAATAGGCTTTTAAAAGCAGCTTAAATGCCCTTTTGCACCACTTTAATTGCATTGCTGTTTGCATGTTCGGCAGCGTATTCCGCTTTAAATGACTTGGGTACGTAGCAAGATAAAACACCTCTGAGGTGTTTACGTTTGCTACCTAACAAAGTGCAACAGTACACAGGGAGCTGGAAGCTGATGTGCTCGGGGCTTGGCAGGCCTCACACAGCTCAGGGGCTGTGGTACCCGGTAGCAGCCCATGCAGGCAGGCTCCACTAAAGGAAAACAAACAAACAAACAAAAACCCACGAGCCTGATCTTTTTTTTTTCCTCCCCAGAGCCTGCCTGAGCTGTGCAAGGGGCCCAGTACTTCCCTCCATGGCTGCAGCACACCCCAAGACCGCCCAGGCTCAGATGCCAGCAGGAAGGTGCCACCTGGGGGGCCCCCATGCAGCTCCAGGACCGCTCAGCCTGCCAGCAGTTCACCCCTTCCCCACCCCCCCACTGAAGAGGTAGGTAAGGATCAGGCCCCAACCATGTAATGCCATGGGGGTTTCGCTCGGTTTAAATCTCCCTAAATTGAAGCTGTATTTTTAAAAACCCACTGTTTCAATTTAGGAAGAACTAAACCAAATTAAACCCCCGTGGCGTGTACAAGCAGCCATCAATGGTTACCTACTACTACAATAATAAAAGAGCGAGTAGAAGGAGAATACATCAGTAAAACTGTCTGGCTAGTTTTCTTTGTAAGCATTTACAATACAGTTAGTGCAATAAACTAACACATTCAAATCATCAAAAGAAAGCTGGCTATCGGAACACAGCAAACAATAAAGAAAAAGGAGACGCCAACAATCCTTCCAACATACTAGGGCAGGCAAGGTTCTTTCAGTCGATGTGATATCTATTACTAGCTGGTCTTATAAAAGATAATACTGATAATAGATGTGCTCTTTTATTAAACCAAGCTTGCTGGCCTATGTCTAAACCAACACAGCTACAACCAAAAACCCTTCCATCATACTATGTATTCAGAAACTGACTCTTGTACTTTATAGGAACAGCACTTAACAACCGGCATGTGTAAAAACTGCACAACCCTTTCCCAGGGTTGCTACTGGGAAAACCACTTGCAATCCATTTTTGTAGCTTGAGAGTCTCCCCAGGATGAGAACCAGATTTTATTATTATTTATAATCTAATGACTAAAAGCTTCAATGTTTTTCTTGAATTCTAAACTAAAACGCATCTAACTTACAGAATATACTAAACTGGAAGCACTGAAATGCCTGCTATAAAGAAAGCTGATGCATCCCAGACTTCCATAATAAAAGTCAAATTTCTTACCAAATTTAAGTTAATTCACTAACAGTAAATGGCCTAGTGTGGAGACTTGGGGCATCTTTCCAGCATCTTTCTCAATTTACAGAGCTATAGATTAATGCCTCAGTGTAAAGAAATTCCAACAAGGAGTGATTTTTAGTTTTAAATAAAAGCTATATAAATATTTTACTAAACTTTTGATTTTTTTTTAAATAATTCAGCCTAAATCTGTTCCTCAGAATCCATAAACAAAGGAAAAATGAGAATACTAGATAAAAATTCACAGTCAAACTAAAACTGACAGCATATAGCACATCCTGTAATATAAAAAGCAGCTTTTGGAAGGCCCCAACATGGAAAAAAAAAAAAAGATCTTATCTTGTAGTACAGTCAGGTACCTGAGGTCTGGGATCTCCAGGCCCAATCTGTGCATCGGACTCATCTGGGTCATGGTGCCATGTCAGCTAGTCAGAGGACTTAGAGGACTCCCTATGGGGTGAAGAGATTTGGAGTTGGAGGAACAATGGCAAAGTTAATTCCCATAACTCCCAGAACTACTCATGGAGCCACAGCAATAAACATTCCTACCACTCCCCTGCCACCAAATCTCCAGACCCTGATGACTCATGCCTCACATACAATGCGCACCCATATTTTCCCCATGTGCATGTTTTATGAGCAAATATGATATTTGTAACCAATTTTGTTATATTTACAATATTGTGTTCATTAATGCTTTAGCTGTACTTTCTGGGAAGTAAATCTGGATGCGATAGTTTAATATGGCAAATAAATTAGTGGAAATATAAACTGTTAGGCTAGGGACAAAAGTTACACACAAACCGGTTTAAGTGATCAGAAACTGGTTTAAACCTGTTACAGAACAGAAGCTAAATGCACACAAACCAGTTTCAAAATGTCTGAAACTGGTTTAAGATAAACCTGGTTGAATGCAGTATCAGACCAGTTTGACTGATTGGGTCAAACTGGTTTATGACACTTCTGTCCCAGACCTCTTCCTGGTGCAAGTTAAATCATAGTCCCCCAGAATTCTTTCCAGGCCTGGGCTGGGCAGTGCTGTCTGCTCCAGAGAGCAGAGCTGGCCCCCACCCCTCTGCTCCTTAGCTGGAGCAGTGAGGGCTGGCTGACAAAGGGAAGGGGGGGCAAACCCAGCTGGGGATGCAGCCCAGTCTATGGAGCAGAGGGACTGCCCCTCACCCCAGGCAAACCCCAGCTGGGGTCTGGGGCCTGGGAGAAGGGTTAAACACCCCTTCCCCTACTCAAGCTTACTGCTGGCTGTAACTAGACTACAAATCCCAGAGGCACCTTGAAGTGCAGGAAGAGGAAGTGATGAGCAAACCTGCAGACTCCTGCTTTTGTGATTCTGGAAAGCAAATCCCAGAGACCTGAGGGGCAACAGGCAAAGGAAGTGAACACAGCCAGAGAGCCATGCTCTAGCACCTCCCAGCTTCTGGCCTAAGCCACTGCAGGCATGTGGCTGCATTTCCTGAATCAAAGGTAAATGTCTGTTCACTTCTGTTTCAATGTAATCTGTGTGGTGTATACTAACCTGCAAAGACTGAAAAAGTCCGAAGATGAATTGATTGACTTTCTGTACTTAACCCTATTCATCAAGTGCACAATGGTATGGTAAGCTCACTTCCTAAGGATTAAAATAAATTCAGAGCAGAAAATGAATCATCATTGGGTAATGTTTGGATAGGAGAAATTTTATTCCACTTTTAATTATATTACAATATTGCTAACAAGAGTTCTGATATTAGCACTGAATATAAAGAATGTCATTAAAATAAAAAGTTTTTAAAAATGGTCTATGTTTTTCCAAAATGTTCCTATTACTTTCTGCATTCTAAGGCTGATTTAAACTTTGTTTAAATCCTGACAATGCTGTTTAAAGTGCAATATATATTTGAAAAATAAATCAATATAGAAAATAAGGCAATCCTCTGTGATCTGTAAAGAATGATGGGTTTCTTGCTTTTCAAAAACAAAGAAAAAAACAGTTTAGGCCAATGACCATTTGACACGGCTACTGAAACCACCTCCATTGCTATACACATGTATATTTTGAAAACTACAACCCAGCTTTGCTGCCTAAAATATACGGGGCAAACTCCTACATGAAAGGATGAGTTTAGTATTTGAAAGTAATCAAACCCTCCATCACTGTGATCTGGATTAATCAAATTATTATATCATAGTTCACTGATAGCTCTGAAGTCAACTCTTGACATCACTACCTAGTGCATAAAAGTGAATATCAGGCTTAAAAATCAGTTGCTTTGCTAACAGAGTTGTGACTGTTGCAAGACGTGACTTGGAGGGTTGATGAGGTATAACTTAGTACTTAATGAACTGAAAGTAATAAAGCAATACTCTCACAAGGGCATTTAAAAATCAAGTGTGCAACTGACATAAAAGGTAGAAAGAAAATGTACATTATAGCAAAATATATTTGCCATAGGTACAATATGCTTACTAACATAACTGCTTTTATGTTCCATGTAAATAATTTCTTTTCTATTCTCTCAGCTGTCTTCCCCAGGCAGAGCAATGCTTACGTTAGTACTATTCATCATTGTTGTATATTTGAAAGATAGTTAAACATTTGAATGATCTGTGGCACTGAGTTGAGTATAAAGTATTATTTAAGGTCTGCTCTTCTTTTTACTAAAGCCTGTACTAAAATGTTAATTTATTTTAAAAGGAACAGGATTAGAATTTAGGTTGTTTTTGAGTTCCCACAATTACATTTACAGAATATCATAGGAAAACTTACATCACACAGTTACTTTAAAATTATGCTAAGCATACTGCCTAAAATAAAACCAAACCAAACCAGGAAATTCAGGGCTACTGAAACCAAGGTGTGTTTTGGCTTTGACGTCAATGGAATCATGAATTTTCACCAATCTTTGAAAAGATACCTGTGCATGAAAAATTCCTGGCTTTACTAATGCAAGCCAAATCAAGAGCAATTTAAAAGTTTCTGTTAGATTTTAATATGTTAAAATAAAATAAAAATCATAGACAAAGATGACAAAATGTTTCATTATTTATATAGTCAAATACATTAGTTAGGTTACTGGTTAAAATGCATGCAACTATATAAGTCTGTTGCCAAATTCCCCCCTCCCCCCGCGCACACACCTTACGTGATAAACTTCGACAAACTTTTTGCAATTAAATTTGCTTTTTCACCTTTCTAGATACCTATGCTTTATCTCAGTGGCTGTTATATTAAACTAAATCCAGGACTCTATAATTTGTTGATAAGCTCAAGAAATATTTAAGATGACAAATACACTTTAATGTAATGTAATGTAATTATATGAAAAAAATAATGGCACTGCATTTGGCTCTTTAAACACGAGATAAAGAAATCAGTTCAGAAGTACAATATACACATGGGTATACATATGAGAAAAAGAAAAAAGTACTTGTGCAAAAGAAAAATACAGACACTTCAAATAAACTATTGAAATCTCTTAGGAAGAGATCTTAAGGTAAAGGCCAGGGAATGAAAGTACTGGGAATACAATATAAACATTCAGCAAAGGCTTCTTCCTGGAGGGGAAGAAAACATGTATGTGGGGATGGGGAAGGGGGGAAATCAGGTAAAAAGGAAGTGCATAATAAATGAGTCAACAACAATATTATTGCCTTAGAAATACCCACAGGTTTTTGCTGGCCTGTTGTGCACAAGGTTTCACACAGCATCAACATTCTTCTGTGGCAGTCTTTCTTCCCTATCATTTTGTTTCTCACCTTATAAAATCATATTTGAAACAAAATAAACTTGTCAGAGCAGGAAAAAAAATGGATTCCAGTCTCTGTACCACTGTTTTGTTAGTTACAATAGAGTGGAGTAATATGAAATTAGATTTAAGGCCTCATTATAGGTCCTGATTTTTCTGCCCCGCATTACTGCCAGTCAGAATGTACTGGTATTTTGCTCAGAAAATGCCAAGTCATTAAAACTAAGGACTCTCCCCACCCCACAGAAAAAACACTCGTTTTGACAAAACCTTTGTCAGGAAAGGTTTCTCAGGGTCATGATGGAATTTAAGTAAGAGACCACTCAAGTGTGAACATCATCAGTATGGTTGATGACCCACTGATTGATGGCATTCACCAAGGGTGTGGGAGACAAATTTGAGTCCCTGATGTGCCTGATTTAGAACCATGATCTCTCACATCCCAGAGGAATGCCCAGGTTATCTTTCATAAGAATATAAGTAGTACCATATTAGGTCAATGCAATGGTCCATCTAGTCCAGTATCCTGTCTGCAAGAGTAGCTGAAGTGGATGCTCTAGAGGCAGAGAATCGAACAGGTTTCAGAAGGTGTTCCTCATATTTTTGTGAAAAAGTTTCAGACATCTTGGTTTGATCCTGATGCACAATACAATTTTTGAAGTCTGAAGAAGTTTTCCAGGATGACAGAAAGCCATGCCCCAGATCCTCCTTCATAACCTGCATCTCATTTAGAACAGCCACAGGCCATATTACCCTTCAATCCTTTACTCCCAATATGCCCTTTATACTGTAGGTTGGAACAGAACAAGTACGGAATTGCTCCAGCAGTTCTGTGCCAGCTGAAGAACCTTCATTATTTATTGACTTAGGTACTAGATTCATAACCTGCCCTGCTTAAAAAAAACCAAAAAATACCATATTTACCCAAATTCAACATAACTTGGAGTTTATGATGATCCCCTCCCCCCCATACATTTCTTATAATTTTCCATGTATAGAATCCAGGTATTGGAGTGTTGTCGTAAAATTTGTATCCTCCCCAACAACAGCAGAGAACAAGGGGGCAGACGCCTGCCCCTTGCCTCCCCTGCCTGTGCCCCTGCTGCCTGTCCCTCCCATCACTTAGCCCCTAGGTGCCTGCTCCCACCCTCCTATCACCTGTCCC